TACGAGGAGGCGCAGCGCTGCCCGCCCGCGGAACGGGCCGGGGATGCGGGGATGCGGGGCTGAGCCCCCCCGGCTGGGCACCGCTCTGATGGAGCATCCTCATCCTCATCCTCATCCTCATCCTCAGGACCCTCGGGAGACACAGCGGACAGCCCCAGGGTGGCCCAGGAGGGATGCGACACCAGGAACCAGCAGCGTTCTCTGGAGGGACACTGGGGATCCCCGGGAATGCTTCTCACTGCAGTGACCTCCAGGATCTGCAAAGGGACCTGACAGGGACACTGGGGACCCCCGGGAATGCTCCACACCTGGCTGTGTGGAGGGACACTGGGGGTCCCCGGGAATGCTCCTGGACACCTGGCTGTGTGGAGGGACACTGGGGACCCCGGGAATGCTCCTGGACACCTGGCTGTGTGGAGGGACACTGGGGTCCCCGGGAATGCTCCTGGACACCTGGCTGTGTGGAGGGACACTGGGGGTCCCCGGGAATGCTCCACACCTGGCTGTGCAAAGGGATGTGTGGAATTCCCCGGAGGGATGGGACACGCTGCCTGGAGCCGCTGGAATGGTTCCTGGAGCCCAGCCCTGGAAGGTGACTCGGGGACCACAGCCAGGACACGGAGGGATGGGAAGAGCATTCCCAGCTGCTCCAGCTGGGCTCGTGTCCCTCGGGAATTTTGGGATTGCTCGGCTGTGGGACTTTGGACACGACTGGGTGATCCTCACCCGCACAGGGAGCTTTTGGGACAGCCAGAGCTGGCTGTGCCCCCTGGCAGCAGGGAAGGGGGAACCTCTCCAAAACCTGCAAATCAAATATCAGTGCCTCCTGCTCTCTGAGGGAATATAAATAAATGTCACAGCTCCTGCCCAGAGCAGGGAGATCTCCCAACAAAACAAAGCCCAGGAGAGGCAGAAACCTCCTCCATCCCCAGTGCAGCCCTGAGCGAGCCGGGAGCGCCTCCCTCACTCCTCAATTCTCCTGCGCCATCAGCCGAGCTCAGCCCAGCTCTCCTGGCTCTGGAACTGCTGGGTGCCCACAGCTTGCATGAAATTCCTTCATTTCTCCCCTCCCAGCCTGACTTCAGCACCCGGAACCGAGGATGTGGTCAGTGCAGGAGCAGCAGCCACCAGCACCTCCCTGCCGCTCCTCTCAGGGGTCTCTAATGGCAAAGACAACCTGCAGGTTTATTTAAAATACAGATTAGAGCTTTTAAAAAGGGCAGGGCTCCCACTAGCGCAGTCATTTCTTCAGAGAAAGGAAAATTCTTGTAGACCCTTCATGAGAAACCCAGAAATAATGAAATGTTTTGGTTTTTGTACAAGGAAGGCCTGTGCAGACCCATCCCTCTCTCTCTCTCCCTGGAGAGAGAGCCCATCCTATTTCCCCAAACTTTTACAGCAGGGCAAAGGCACCTGAATTAAAATGAAAAGGTTAAATTGGACATTTTATAGCACCCTGATTTGATTTGGATCAACAAAAATAAACTTTGGGAATTGAGATTCTCAATTTATGAACTGAGAATCTCAATTTATGAATTGAGAATCTCAATTTATGAATTTTTTTCTCCCTGGCTCTTCCCCATCCTCTGCAGAGCAATGTGTCATCTCTGAAAATAAAGAAATGGAGGTCTTAAAATTAATATATTTAATAAAAAAAAAAGTGGAAAAAACGATTTCAAAGACATACCTATAACATCAAAAATAATAAATTGCTTCTAACTCCCCCCCCCCCATCTGTAGGTGATGTAAGCTTTGTATTTATATAAATATCTATTAAAATTTCAGAATAAAATTTTAGAAAGCTTCAAGCTTTTCTGGTTTTGCTCATTTATAATTTTGACTATTTTGAAGTGAATAAGGCAAAAATCACCAGGATTTCTGCAGGAAATGGTTCCACATGATCTGTAAAATCAAATTTTCATGTCAGATGATTCAAACCTTCCTCCTGTTCCGGTCCCAAAGGGTAAAATCCCACAGATAAATCCAGATTTCAAAGTTTTATTGCCTTAAAAACCAGTAAACCAAAATGTATTTTTAATTTTTTCCTCTGACCCATTACAAATATGCAGCAGGTTTTGAAACACCCACCTGAGCTTTTTGCTTTTACCTCACTTGAGGATTTTATTTTTCACCTGAAGGTTTGTTTTTCAAATTTTTATCCCTTTTTATCAGATTCAAGAGATCCTTTAAATCAGAGAGGATTTGCTGTGGCCAAGGATAAATGAAGTGAATGAACTCAACTCTCACCCTTGCAACGGCAAAATCTGGGTTATTTTTGATTATTGATCCATCACAGCAGCACCTAAATAACCGAATTTTAATCATGTTAATTAATCTCTGTTTCTTAAATTGGTTTGTGATGGTTTAAATCAAGCAGGAAGCAATTAAATAAGAGGTAATTCTTTTTAAAAGTGTGTTTTTTAAATAATTTCTCATTCTGGGCAATAATGTAACCAAAATGTACCTGAAACATCTGTATCCTTCTGCTATTTATTTTTACTTAATACTGAAAATAACTGAAAACAGGTGAAAATACAATGCAAAACTTTGAAAACCCCAGAAAAACCAGCTCAAAAATTCCCTTGGCATGGATGGATGGAATTCCAATCCCAAAATCCCAATGCCAGGAAAGCCACACAGGAACATTTTCCCCTGAGAATATCCTGAAATTTAAATTTCATACCCAGGGTAATAACTGTATTTAGAACCTGATGAGAACAAGGAATGGAAGTGCTTTTCCAAAATATTTTGCTTTGTTTTCTATTTAACACCAGGGTGCTCAGGACTGGTTGTGTGTGATAAAAAAATGGAATTAAACACCTCTCCCATCCCCTCCAAATGTAATTAAAACACCCCAAATATCCTTTTTTTTGAGCACTCAAGTGGAGATCCCCACATGCAGCAGCTCTCAGAACCATTAAAAACCTCCACTTTTATTTGGTTTTATTAAGAAATTTATGAAATGTGCAAGATTTACAAATTTGCTTCATGTACAGATATTTTACATTTTGCTGGTAACATTTGAAAGATACATAATAAACCTTGTCAATGCTGAATAAGCTGCTGATGTATTTATATAAATGAAGAGAATGCAGCCAGTTTTGGGTATGAAACAAAGAAAATCGTATCTATACAAAATAACATAAATTAAAAAAAAATATATACAAATCAAGTACTTTGGGTAAAAAAAAAATACATGAAATATTCTCTCATTTTAAATATTCCTGACAATTTTACACATCAGATGCTACAAATGCTTTTTGTAATTTCCAACCACCCTGAAAGTACATTCCAAAGTATTTTAAATAACAAAAAAAATTCCTTTTACTGCTGAGTGTTTTTCTCAGTGATAAACCTGAGTTGGTGAAATTATCTGAAATCATCTATTAAAGAACTCATTGGTACATCCTAACAAATATGAATTCCCACGACTGTGAGGGAAATATTTGTACTTCAGAGGCTCAAGTTCCTTTTTTTAATTGCATTTTCAGCCCTTCCAGTTTGCTAAATTTGTTTTAGGGCAATTGAAAAAAAACTGGAGAGGTTGGGAATAACCAAACTTCTTAATTTGGGGCTTAAATTGTGATTTCAGTAGAGACAACCCAGGTTAAAGAATATTAATGGCAATAAAAATTTAAAATCACCAAGAGAGGAACAGTTAATTGCCTTTTTTTTCCTCATGTATGTAGCCATTACTGGCACCAGAATATAAACCCAGCTCAAAATGAAATAATTCATCTTCTGTGTCACCCAAGGATTCAAATCCACAGAAATTCTCACTCCTGTGGCCCACAAAATATTTGCTGTGGCTTTTTTTTTTATTATTTTTCACAAGAAGCCAGTACCAAATATCAAAGCAGCACTTTGAAGGTGCCCAAAATGTGAATTATTGCTGCACAGTCACGCTGCTCCTCACTGCAGCACTGGCTGCTGCTCGTTCTCTTTCTTTAGCAATTTCCATCTCTATTTTGGCTTTGATTTTATTCCAATCCACTTCCAGCTGTAAGAAGAGAAAAAATTAAACACACAGAGCTCAATATCAGAGAGAGACAGGTCAGTTATTCAATTTAAAAATATAATTATGAAGTGTTGAGTACCCAAACTCACAAAAGATGTGAAGGCACAGCTGAGTTTTAACTGAGCTTCCTTTAAAATAAACCAAGCCTGAGATAAAAATAAAATAATAGTAATAAATAAAATTAACCAAGCCTTTGTGTCTGGCAATAAAACACAAAAATAACCTGTTTCTAATTCAATATGACGACATCAGTGTCCTGTTACTGAAAATTTAGCCCTGCATCATTAATTTAGGAGTGGTGTCTCCTCCAAGGAAGCTGATGGGATATTAAACCAGTTATCTGCTCCAACAGAAATCCAATTCCTGCTTGGAATGGCCCTTCCACATCGATAAATGTTTTAGTTTGAACCTTGGCATTTCTCCAGCTGAAGAGAAATTGGCATTTTCTGGCTGTGTTTAGTGGCAGTGAAACCTCAGGCAATACACACAGCACAGTATCACAGCACAAATCAGGGTAGAAAAGTTGTTTCTTCCCCAAAAAAATGCTTGACAAGGAAAAGAAAAAATGGATCATGGTACATTTGATGACCATAAAAAACATCCAAAAATGTCATTGTGCAGTTCAGTTTATTGCTGGAGAATTAATGCTGTCAAAGGTGGGATGGGGGAAGAATTTCAAGGGCTGTACAAGGAATTTTAGTCTGTAATTAAGTAATGGGATAACTGGGGAGATCCTCCAAGAGGGAAAGTGAAATTAAATACCCACATTCTCAGGTAAAAAATAAAATATATTATTATTATTATTATTATTATTATTATTATTATTATTATTATTAACACCTCTGCTCTAGAAGTACTGACTGGGTCCAGGATTCCCAGGATATGTGTTAGGTATTAAGAACCTGATATGTAAAATAAGCACAATTTTAGATCCTGCCTGGCTGCAGAAAATAAAGGAAAAAGCTCCTTATTTAAGCCTGAAGAGGTTTTAGGTTGTGAGAGGGAAATGGAGACTCTTTTTAATCCCTGAGAAGGAACTGCAGCACAAAATCTTGCTTTTCTTTTCAATTTCTTTCTGATTTTGGTTTTTGAGTCTGACAGGTTGCATGAAGAATTTAATTACAGCTTAAAATTCACATTATGTGGATCCTTTCTAGTCTCAAATCCAGCAAAGACCTCCAGCACCTGGATGTGGAAAAGGACTTTTTTCCCTCCAGAAATCTCCTGAGTGAGACCCAAATTTCAAGACTGAGCAGCTGAAAAATCATCCTGCTCACACCTCGTCATTGCCAGGGTGGAATTCCTGAGGAATCCTGGTGGAATCTACAGCTTTCTCCAGGATTTTAAGAAAATCAGGATTATCTCCAATGTTTATCAGAAGCATCAGGGAATTTATGTGATTTTTGCTCTGTAATGGAACACATACTTCCTGCACAGGAGCTGGAAAAGCTGCAGGATAAAAATGCTTGGAATCTGTGCTTTAATTTTCTGTATTTTCTAGATAAATTACTCTGGAACGGTTCATTAGGGGCTGAGTTTTGTTTAGAAAATAAGAATCCTTAAAAGTGCTAAAAGCTAATGACTTCCATTAGAAAGCCAGCTTTATTCCAAGTGTCCAGTGAAAGGATGTGAATTCCCAGCTCAGCTGCTCCCTGATCCATCAGCTGCAGTGGATAAAAGGATTTCACACAAAGGAAAGATCTCTTTCCATAATTTCTCCCTCAGAATTCAGAGGAATAAGGAAGGGAAAAGCAGGAAGGCTGCTCAGTGGAATTGTGCCTCTCCTGAGGGAAATGTGTGGAAATATTCCAGTGGAATCCAAGATCTACCTTCTGAACTTCAGGGTGTGCCCTCAGGATCTGTGAAATAAATAAATTGATTTACTGGTGATGCAGAGGGTTTCCAATAAAGGTATATTGATCTGCTTATCATATTTATCAGAATGGCAGATTCCTTCCAGGTTTGTTACTGTTTCTATCCATAAAATGCCACAAAAATGTTGGAAGTATTGGAGATTCTCATTGAACCATGGTGAAGTTTAGCTCCCTGTTTATAGAAAACAACTGTGTCTTCACTTGTGTGATCTTTACCAGATATTAAATATATATATGTCATGAATCTTCAAATAAAACCCAGAATGCCCAGCTCTTCCTGGCCAAGCAGCCCAATATAAGGCCAAAAATGGTAAAAATTCCCCATTTCTGTTCACATTTGAAGCACAGAAGGAAAACAGAGGTGCAAACTCATCCCACCCTCCCAGCAGGAACAACCCTGAGGGACACTTACACCTTCTGCATATTGCAAAAACCTTTGGTTGGTTTCTTTTTTCCCAAAATCTTCCAAGAATTTCTGTCTGTAAGCCAGGACCGTGTCCACGTGTGTCCTGTGCTTCACTGCCAGATCCAGGGCTCTGCAATAAAGCAGGAATGGGTTGGGGAAATGCTCTGGCACCACCACAATCAGCAAGGTTTTGCAGAATTTCTGAGGGAGAGGGCAAAGATCCCAAATCCAATTCCACATTAGGACCAGCAGGTTAAAATACCCAACAATTATTCCCACTGACAACTTCATCACATCAATAATTTGACCCCGTTTCAAGGAAATGCAGAATATTTCAGTCTAGCACAAAAATAAAAATGTTTAATAACTTTTTTCTACTCAGAAATAGGTTCTGAACAAGCATAATACATATTTATGATAAACTGTATATAATATTTATAAATATTGTATAGATGGAAAAGATCAGGCACTGGATTAATTAAATTCATTACTCACACTTGGTTTCTTCTCAATGACTTAACACTGATATTTGATATACAGAGATTTTTTTTAGATGATAGAACAAAAGAATATTCTTTTCCTAATATTCAGCTTAAACCTCCCCTGACACAGCTTCATAACAAAACAATATTATAGATTTCTGGGGGAAAATCAACCTTTTGCCTGAATATCTGAATAGAACAGCAGAGAAATCAGGAGGAAACAACTCACAGGATTCTGTTCAGAAAGCGTGGGGGTTTTGTTTAAATGAGAAATTCCTCCTTTGTTTTCTCAGCCTTAATTCACATTTTCTCCACCTACACAATTGCTGGGAGTCTGAGTAGCCACAGTTTTATTTTTAGCAACAAGACATTTTAAAAGCAGCCCAAATTCCACAGCCAGTCTGGGGCATCACCGAGGGCTCCCTCAGTGCTAGCAGTGATGAAAAAGCAAAATGTTATTTCAAAATGCTTCCAGGAATATTTTGGGCTTTTATCACCAAATATTTGTATTTTTAAAATATGACACAAAAATGCTGGGTTTTTTGGTTACTGTCAGGCTATAATTTAATTCGGTTTTTTGAAGTTGTGGGTGATTAAAAGATAAAAAAACGAGTCAGCAATAAAACAACTGATGGAAATAATTAGGAAAATGCATTTTAGGGGGAAAAACCCCTACCTTTCCCAGTTGTAAAGATTAATGTTGACTTGGATAGCTTGGTAAACCAGGCCTGACTGAAGCAGGAGGGTTTCAGCCTCCTGGGTGTTCCCACTGAACAGCAGCATGTGAGCCAGCCTGGATTCCTTGGATGGCAGATCCTTGATGGAATTGATGTACTGGACTTTGTCAATCTGCTCAGGAGGAGGACAGCAAGGAAATTAATTAATCAACCTGGTTTTGCATTTAATTGGGATTGAATTCTGTTTCCTAATTGCTTACCTCACCAATGGCTGCATAGGCAATTTCAGCTGTGGTCATGTCCTTGCTGGCCACTGCCATGGCAGCCAAACAAGCCCACAGGGTCTGGTCCTGAAATTCAAAATAAAAACAACTTGTCAACCTTCAGATGTTTATTAGCATGCTGCAAATGCCTCCTCAAAGCAACTACACAAGGCCTGAAAATGATGTGTAATATTAGGTTTATCCGTGTGTCATTTATGGCACTGTGTGGTCTAAGTCTTGCATCAGGAAATTATTCATTATTCCTCAGAACTAAGAATTAGAAAAACTTAAGGGTAATAAATAATATTATACATTATTATTAATATGTATTAGTATTTATTATTAATATTATTATTTATTATTATTTGTTATTTACTATTATTTTTATTGTATTATTCTGTTGTTTCTGTGAGGTTTTTTTGGGGTATTTTAACCATGAACTCAGAATCTAGGAAGATCCTAAATGACATTTTGATGGATTTTCAAGTGATAACATGAGGACAAAGACACACTAATAAACCATATTTTAATATAGTTTAAGCTACCACATCTAAAATTCTATTCAGACAGGAAAAATGAAATTTTGGACTTGCTAGTCCAGGAATTAAGGAGGTTTTAATGTTGAGTGTGTTCAAAAAGAAATCTGGCAATAAAGACTTAGCACTGTGAAGGTTTTCAGGAGGATCACTCTTGATTGAAATCTGAATTAACAGCTGCACTGAGGATGTTCTAAACACATTCCTGTATTTCCTGACTTTTCCATCACTCAGGACAAAGCCTCCTGCAGGAAGCCCAGAATTTGTGAAAATTCAGATTGTTCAGAGAATCAAATGCTCCTAAAACCTTTTCACATTCTCTTCCCCCTTCCCTTTTATTTAGAAAACCAGATGATAAAATCCTGAAAGCTCAGCCTGAACTTATCCAGGAGATGAAATTCCCAGGAATTGCTCCTTGATGGCTCCAAGTTGGTTTTTGTTGCTTTTTTTCCTCTCAGAAACATGAACCATTTTGTTATTCCTGACTGGAAATACTTTTTACTCTCTCAAAATTAAAATATCCTGACTTGGATGCTTAAATCAGGTGATGTGGACACTGCAAATAAAGATTCTCTTACAATTCTAATTATACAACCCAAATTATCTGGATGTGCATTAATTTAACAATTGGCTACACAAATATCTGAAATACACATTTAGGGTCATGACAAAAGTGCTAAACTTTTCAAGGAATAAATGGGAAGGAAGGTTTGAAGGGATTTTGTTGTTTCAAAAACTACCACACTCACCTCGTCTGTTGCTGTTGTCTAAATAAATACAAAAGAAAGCAATGGAAAAGGGAAAAAAATAAAAAGAAGTGAAATAAAATATGGAAATTAACAGGTAATTGTGGAAATGTCACTTTTAACTGGTTATGTTAAGGCCCAGACCTGAAAATTTAAGTTCAGAACTGAATTCTGTGAGCACTTGTGTTCAATCCAGCTGGATTCTGGTGTGACTGAAAATAAGAATTATTATTTATCACAGAAGTTATGGAGTTCTCATGTTATGGAATTAAGAAAACCACATCATTTTCCATGAAATGAGTGACAAAGCAGGGTGGAAACGAACCATAACATTTGATATGGAGAGATCACTATGAAAGACCACTTAAAACAATAAATATTCCATGGAATGGGATCAGAATATTCCCAAAAATCAGCTTTACCTTGACAAATCGGCAGAGCCTGACCCCATCCTCCCACCTGGAGGTGCTGATGTAGTCGTGGAGAATGGCAGGGTAAGGGGAGATGTGCAGGTGCACCAGGGACCCGTCTGCTCTCCTAATTGTCACCTGATTTCCTATAAAACTCACAATCTGCGGGTTTTTGCTGAATTCACTGTGTGCAGAAAGAAAAAAATATAATTTTAATATTTATTTGTTCTTATGAGAAAGAATTTCAGATCAGTTATTTGTCACCAGCTATTTTGCTATTTTTAATTTCTGACGTAATCCAAACAAATCTTTTCTGTTTGTTTTTTACAAAACATGAGGTAATATTTTATGAGAAAGAATTCCAATTTTGCTTTTACCTCAAGGTGCTGCACTCCTTTCAAACCCTGCATCATCATTTCAACCCTAAACTTTATAATTTTCCTTATAAAACCCTTTTTCCTCGTTTCCCAATCGAGAAACAGGTAAATTTTTAAAAGTTGCAAGGCCAGTTTTTACTTCTCCTGACCACAATTTGTTAAGAAAGGAGGGAAATAATTAAAATAAATCATATTTGGATTCAAAAGGATTTCTTACCTGGCATCTTTTTCATACAGGGTTTTTGGGAGAAGATCTTTATCCACATAAACAGTGTTGGGATAATACCAGACTGTGAACCTGGAATCCTGAATCCCACAGAGGATGTTGGAGGTGTCATTCCAGGCCAAACTCTGCACCATTGTCCCTTCATTTAGAGACAATAAATAATTAGAAATAATTAAAACATTTCCAGAAGAAGCTTATAAATAAAGGGAATTCTAACAGGGTGGTTATTCAGTATTTTTAGTTGCTTTTCTAAGGTTTTAACCCCAAATTTTTAATATTTTAAAAGCTGCTTTGCATGGAAGTGATAGAAAAATTATCAGATTTCAGATAAAGTTTCATATAAAAGCCTCAGTTTATTAAAAATTCAATTTCACTGCTAATTAAACAAAATGTTGTCTCTTGTATTAAATAAAAATTTATTTCCCTCACAGCATCTTCTCAAACATCCATTTGAATTCTTCTCACCTATCTTGACAATCTTCTGCTCTTTCCCAAACCTTTTCACAGAGGTGATGAAAAGATCTCTGTTCTTATCAATAAAAGCTATTTTTCTCTCACTTGTCAGTCCTTTCTGGTCCAAAGCAATCTCCACAATCTCTGTCTGAAAAGATAAAAGAGAATTTTTATTTTTAGATTGGATTTTTATATTGGATCTGATTTTTATTTTGGAGCTTTTATATCTGGATACTCAAACTGATTTTTTTCCTAAAAACAAGACACAAAATTCTTTGATAAACTGGGTTGGAAAAACACTTTGTGTGAAATTTCTCAGTGGAATAAATCATTCCACGGGGTTAGAATTAAGATTATTTCAAAGTCCTTTCCAACCCAACCCATTCCATGATTCTATAAATTGAATTTAATGAAGATTAAAACAATTCTGAAGACAACACAAAGCACTAAAAGTCAGCTGAAAAGCTCCTTTCTATTAAGATTTTAAAACTTTAATGGGTTTTTAGTCCCAATATTGAGGAAAACCATTAGTGGTTCTTAATTTCTGAGTAAAATAAAGGCATTAAAACCCTCACTTTACCTTGTGGGTCAGATGTTTTCCATCACCCAGTGGCTTCCCAGATAAAGCTTCAAATATGTAGATAACTAAAGGAAAAGAATTATATGGTTTATTAATGAAAAGCACAAATTCTTAATGGATTTTTCCAGTGATTCCATTCTTTTTTTTTGAGTGTAATTTAGTGCAAGTGGATAAAACATTCTGTGTGAGCTTCCCCAGTGATTTTCACAAGGTGGTGAGAAAAAAATCTTATAAAAAACTGAATTTTCACTTCCTACTCCTCTATTTTTCATTTCCTATCTCAAATGGGGCTTTACAGAAAATGACACCAAATTGTGATACAAATCTGCACCCGGAATTTAAATCAATCCACATTTCCAATATCAGATTTTCTCCATCTTAACCCACAATTTAATGAATGGGAGTGTTTAGGAAGAGAGAAAATTGAAAAATCCCACCAGGGAGTAAAAAATTTAAATATTTTCTGTAAATATTCCATGGATCAATTGAAAATTCAGAGCCAGACCGTTCTCTTGAAGTTTTTAAATTAATTTTAAGCAATACCCATAACTTGAATTAATTTTTATAATAAATGTATGTATTTTTTATCCTAAATAAAACAGAATTTACCCTTCTCATCAGCTTTGTCCTTCACTGCCAGGGTGTCATTGCTCAGGGACACTGTCTTGGCATTTAAAATGTCTGTTCTCATGCCTGGATATTTTGGAGAGGAAATTAATCTGCCTTCATAGGAATATAAATAAAGTCCTCCACCATCCAAAAGAAGAAAATGCCTAAGAAAAAAAAAAACAAACAACCCAACAACAAAGAAGTAAATCACTAAATCATATTAAAAATGGTATTTTCAACAATGGGAAGGTCGTTGTTTAACATCCTGCAACTGTTCTTCCAGTTTCCATCAGTCCTATGTGTTAAATTTTCAAGATATTCTGCAAGTTTTGTATGGAAAAGTTTGGTTTTAATGTATTATCCTTTTCCAGGAGAAACATTTATTATGTGAAATATTTACCATTTTATCTAGGTATATTTTGTTTATTTCTCATATTTCAACTTGAGCTTATTTTGTTATATATAGATATATACACATATATAATAAGCATAGTTATTTATAATATAGATAATTAATTTATTAATTAATTTAATAGCCATATTTTGTTCATAATGAGCATAAGAAGAATTTAAGAAGCCAGGTACCTTTCTGCTTGGAGAATCAAACTCACAGTTCCTTCCTTCAGGTCAAAAATCAATGGAGTGTTCCAGTTCTTTGTCCTGCAAATATAAAAATATCAGCATTAAAATCACTAATTTTCACATTATTTCAAACACAAAGTTGCATTCAGCAAGCAAAACGCACACTTTTCACCATCAAATATTCCTAAAAGATAGGTTTTCCAACTTCAAATAGCATTTAGGAAGCCAAGGAACACAGATAAGCACAAAATCTGATGGAATGACACTTTTGCATTCATTGTTTCATCCCCTCCCACCAGCAGCAGCTGCCCCAGGAGCCTTAAAACCAACAAAATTATATTGATATGGACTATTTTATTTAAAAACTGTTTTTAAAACATTCCTGACTCTTTTAGAGTGATCTGCACTAGTGTTCACTGAGCGGATATTCTACTGAATGTCTCAATTAATTAAAAACAAATTAATGATTGTGCTTCCAATCAAGTTTCTGCCACTCTTTTCTAAAGAATCAGAGCAAGAGGAATTTGCTTTACTCACGAGAACACGTAACACTGCAGGGAAGTGGAAACCACCAAATATCCATAATTCAGGGAGGCTTTAATGACCCTGTCCCGGAATTCCAACAAATCCACGGCATCATTGATGACATTGTGCACCTGAGCAAAGGGAAATGATCACAGAATTCAAATTAATTAATGAAATATTCCTGTTGAGGAAATAATTTGAGATGGAGGAGGTCTGAAAATTCCCATTTTAAGACTGTTCAGTTGTTGATTATTTGAATATTTGAAATAAACACGGCAATGTTTATTTTATTGTTATTTAAATAAATGTCAGTGTTATTTAAATAAACATTTCATCCAAACATCTCATTGGGATGATGATGCTGCAGAGCTCTGGAATTTGAGTGATTCCACACTAGGAAGCACAGGAAATTCAGGAGATGGGCTGGGTGAGCAGGTTGTGGTTTTATTATTCTGCTTAAAATTTGCTCAAGAAAATCAGAATTTGCCTCAAATCAACACAGATTTTTCACCTCAGAGATTTTATGGAGCTAAAAATCCAAGGGGGAACCTTAAACAAAAAAGTATCCTGTTTTTTTTGTGGGGTTTTGGGGTTTTTTTGGAAGATGTCACCCTCCTGAGGGTGGTAACTTCCTTCTGCTGTTCTCCATTATGTACCAATTGCAAAACAACGACTGACCTCAATTATTCCAAGAGCCTAAAAACCATTTCCAAGGATATGTTAATTGCTATGCCCACCACAGCATCACTAATTAACTTTGCCATTGTAATACTCAGGAAAAAAATCCATCTGCAAGTTTTTTTTGTAGGATTTTCCTACAAAATATATAGGAATAAAATCACTGTAAAATACCGAAAATTAAAAATGAGTCAGGGTTAGCTACACTTCCTCACTCTCTGCATATTCAAAAAGAGAATTCAAATCCCAAGGAGATCATTCCCAAGTCCATCTGGTACGAGTCGATGTCTGGGAATGAGGGAAAAAATTGGGAATTTTGAGCTGATGTGCGCTGTGTGTTCCCAGACACTGACTCACAACATCCCACCCACGGCCCCAAACCCAAATCCAGCTCTTCCCAAATCCAAACCCAATATGAAAAGAAAAACCAACCCATTTAATGGTTTAATTAGGAATTTAGGATGCTGAAAAGCCCAAATGTGTAATTTGAAAAATGTGGAAGGATGGAAATCTTTATTATCCCAGAGAACGAAAGTTGTGAGTCAATGTCTGGGAACACAAATTCAATTCAAAATTCCCATTTTGCATTAAAACAAGCTTTGTGAGCAGGCTGCCCAGCTCTGAGGTGATTTTACCTTCATGGTTCTTCTCTTCATTAAGGTAATTTGGAAGTTTTTCCACTCCCAGTGTTGTTCCACCACGTGGGCAAAGATGACCTGGCCGTTCCCACACGCTCCGGCCAGCTGGGTGCCATCGATGGACCAGGAAATGGCAAAAATGCTGCCAGTGTTGGGCTTCTCCAGGGAATAAGACCACTGGAAAAAAAATAAAAATCATCATTATTTCAGTTACTCTGTATTTTTTAGAAGTCATTTATTGTCATAAATAGGTTTGCAGGGTTGGGATTTCTCAAGGAGCGACGATAAAATGAAGTTTTTGTTGCATTGGGGTTGGATGTTTAAGTCAGACTCTGGGAAAAAAAAAAAGGGGAAAGCATCAGGTAAAGCAGAAATTAAAAATGCACAATGCTTGAAGCACATCAGGCATCAGTTTTGTACTCATAACTTATTCCAAGTGTATTCTCATTCATAAATCCAGGGAATCACTACATAAAATTAAGGTGCTTAAGAAATAATTACATTTCCTCCACTCTGTTACTGTCCAAGTAAAGGATTAATTAAAAATTTCCTCCAGTAAAGACCTTAATTCTTAATTCCCTCTGCCTTATCGTGAGACTCCTCTTAAATTTAGATCCTTATTAATAAATTCTTATCAAAAATTTGAATTTTCAGATCAAAATCCTTTGTTCAATTTCCTGCATATCATGAACACAAACCATTCTGAATCTCCAAACAGATATTTCCCTGAAAATGGATGACAAATAAAAATTAAATAACGTTTTCCAGGGAATTTTAGGAAGATATTGAAGCAGATTTTGAAACAAGAGGCAAATCTCAATTATTTCCTCTTCATGTAATAGAATATTAAAAAAAAACGTAGTAATTGAAGAACTACCTGAATATTCAAATATATTTGAAGTCTTAAAGAGCAAATCAATAATAAAAATCATGTGACTGAAGTTAAAGGCAAACATTGGATTGACTTTTGGATACCTGAAATTATCCCAAAAGGGGCACAGCTGGAAGAAAATCCTCACCTGATGCTTCTAACACATTTCATAATCTGATTACTTCTGCAGAGCGTAAAATCCCAAAAAATTCAAGTATTTGTATGATTTAGATGGAAGGAAATCACAAAAATTCCAGTAAAATAAAGGGGTTGGACTTAAAAGGTTCAGCAGGAAGGAAATTCCACTGGGTAAAATCCAACCCCAGTTGGAATTTGGGAATTCTGAGTGGAATTAAATTAAATTAAATTCTTTTTTTACACATCAGAGTGAGTTAAAGGTGATGCTGGCACTGCCTGAATTTCCAGTTTCAAGTCTTGATTTTAACGCTTCACCTTCCTCATCATCCCCTGTCTGTGTGAGCTGCACTTGGGAAAGAAATTCCCATTTTTGAATTGCAAGGAAGGAAATTCCCATTTTTTGAATTGCAAGGTAGGAAATTCCCATTTTTTGAATTGCAAGGAAGGAAATTCCCATTTTTTTTTTGAATTGCAAGGAAGGAAATTCCCATTTTTGACCAGTCCATAACCGCTCCTCTGCCTGACCAGGATGAATTCAGCCCCAAACACTCTGCAGTAATTAACCCCAATAATTAAAGCCTGCCTCCAGCCCTGGAAGCTCCATCCCAGATGTTTTTCCCAGCTGGAATCTGTCTGGGAACACTTTGAAGGAGTCGTTTCAAGCTGAGCCCTGGGATCCTCCCAGCCAGACCCGGCTGTTTCCGAGGTCGTTTCCCTTGGATCAAGGATCCACCCAAGAAGGAATCAAAGGACATCAAACCATAATTAAAAACCACTTTAAGGAGCTCCAGGAATGTTTTTTTTTGGAGTTACTTTTCCATGGAAAGCAGAACCACTGCAGCTCTGATGAGATCCATTCCTAAAACTCCTTTTTTTAATAAACTTTTTTTTTTTTTCTTCAGGCCATTGAAAAATCACTCAAATATTTCCAGATCATAACCTACATTTTAAAAAACAAACCAGAAAAAGCCATTTCCAAGCTTTATTTTCCAGCTGTTTTGAAGGCTCTGTGTAACTCCAGTGATTCATGCTCCCTGCAGATGTCTGGGGCATTTTTTATGGCCATAAAATGTTATCAGAAAAATCATTTTACCTCTTCATTTTTAAATAGAAACAATTTTAAAACTGGAATAGCTGCTGTAGAATCCTAAATAAATGGATTTTTTATTTTTTAGGAAAGGTCTGACTGTGACTCCAGCAATGAATGTTGACCCAACATTAATGCAATATTTTGGGTTCCATTTTTCCTGTGCCATAATCAATTTTTCACTGAATTCTTTCAAGAACAAACCCAGAAATTCTTAAAGTTTCATTTTATTAAATCAATCCATAAAAGCAGCAATTTCTAATTGCACAATTCTGTTTTCAGAATGTTTTCCTCTATTTTCCAAAGATATCAGGCAATATTCCATATTTTTCATAGAATTTCCAGCAAAATTTGATAGAACATAAAAATATAAGAGGATCAAATATGCAAACTGCCAGTGTAGTGAAATGGCCAAAATTCACTCTGCAACACAAGAAAAAGTTTGAAGAATGCACAAAATAATATTAAAAAATGATGGATTAATGGAAATAATTGCTTTTATTACACAGAATTTTCTCAGCAGAGTGTTGAAGACAGGAGTAAAGCAAAGGGCAGGATTTAACCAGAAAATAAATGTGCAACAAGAAGATCACAAACAATTTGGAAAATAAACAAAAACATTCAATTAAACTGATCAATCCCATTCAGGGTAACTAAGTCATTAAGAGAAGATGCATAAATTTATTCAGCATTATTTAAATATTAATTGATGCCCCTATTTAGTAACTAAAATGATTAATTTGACCATTTAATGTTTTTTTATCACTGATGCCTCTACACTTCCAAGGCTCTGGGAACAAAACTCGCCTGCAGGACAGCAATAATTATTTATTTTATATGTAAATACATCATTTCTTTTCATGACTTTTAATCAAAAAAATACAATTTAAAATGTTGTTAATAAATATGTAAGTTTGATCTTTACCATGAAGCTGCTTGAACATCACGGGGAGGTAGGTAAAAAACGAGAAAAAAAGAGCATTGAGTGCAAGAATTTAATTTAATTATGCCCCAAAGTGAACACATATGCTGGAGAAGAGTTAATGATAAATATTTATTGTCCTGATGGCTCCCTGGGGAGCAATTTTCCAATGCAGCTCCATCCCATCAGACACAATAAAAGTGTCTGTGCTGAGCAGGAAAAGCAGCCCTGCTTCCCTTCAAACCCCACCCCTCTGTGGGATGGGAATCATTCCCTGCTTCCCCTCTATTCCAGACACTTCTTTAGGCAATATTTACATTCAATGCCATTATTTACATTCAAAAATCCTGAATTTCAAGAGAATAAAACCTGCTAAATGCACAAAGCATCTGGCAGCAGCTACTGTTCATTTCTGTTTTGCACTGAGCGATAAACCAAATAAAATAATCTAAATTTTATACAAGAAATAAACCTGTCTGCATTAAAATTCCCAATAACCTGTTCAGTATTAAATGCTGATTAAAACACTGATTTTTTGCTTGCAGGAGCCTGGCTCAGACTTACAGGAAATTAAATTACAGATCTGTAGATATCAAAGTGAAACATTTTTAAATCAGCAAATTGACACTTTGCAAGAGAAAATTGCATTTGAGTACTTTTCCTTCGAGATAACTGCAATTAAAATTTTACTTGCAAACTTGTAATTAAATTCTATTTATACCCTGTCAGTGAAAATCAGTGAAATCAGAATCACAGCAGAAAAGTGAAATAAAAAAACTCAGATTTTATCCTTATGCCTCTTCTTAAATAATCTTTCAAGGTTCTTCTTCATGAATGTAAAATAATCTGAAATACAGACTCCAAATTCATGCCATGATTGACTGAAAACACCCAAAACACCACAGCAATTTTTTCCCAAAAAGAGCAATAAACACAACAAGAAAATAGGACAATAAAAGTCCCCAAAAATCAAGGTTTGCTGCAAAAAATCTGAGGAAAAATGTGCAGAACCACAGAGACAACGAGGTCAATCTGAGCTAACTCAGAACACCAATGAAGGGAGGTGAAATTGCATTAAATTCATTTTAATTGGACACCAAGCTGCAAAAAAACCCTATAAAAATAATGATTCAGGAGGAAACCTTCAAGGGAAAAAAAATAAAGATTCAATACTAAAAGTGCAGGACATGGTTCTTCCTTTTCTATCAGATTATTTTTATAGATTCCTTTTAATGGTTAAAAATTGCAATTTATGATTAGTGATGATCACAAGACATGCTTGTGAACTCTGTGGTTTTCAGGTACAGAATTTCATGTCCCAAAATGCAAAATATATTAAAAATAAAATATTCTGGTCAGCAAAAAGGTGCTGGCAATCACAAGTAGTTTTTGCTAATAAAATACCCACCTGCACACTGATATCCTGAGGGATATTTGCTATATTATCAATAAATGTGAACAACTGCCAGAGTTTTACACTGGAATTTTTTATATTTTTAATACTTTTATTATATTTTTTATATAGATATATAAATTTGCAGAGTTTTACTCACCCCAGTTTTATCACAGAGGCGTAAAGTGTTAAAAGATCCCACAGCAAATAATTCTCCATCCAGAGCCCAGGCAATGGAAGTGATGGGATACTCGTGGGGCTGGGAATTGTACAGGGCACGGCCAAAACTGTCCCAAACCTGCAGCAAAATTCAAATTTCTACCATGGCAACACGCTTTGAGTGCATTTTTATTATTCCACAAGAATAATTTCCCCTCATGTTTTATTGTCATTTGAAAAATCACCTATATTATGGTTCACTTTTGGTTTATATATATATTTTTTGGGGATTTTTGTTACTCCAGAAGTGTGATTTCCTCTCATGTTTTAGCATAAATTGAAAAATCAACTGCATTATAGTTCACTTTTTATATTTTTTGTATTTTTATTACTCCAGAAGAATAATTTTCCCCTCATGTTTTTAGTATAACTTGAAGAATCACCTGTATCATACTTCACTTTTGTTTTTTTATATATATATTTATATATTATATAATTATATACAATATATATTATATAATGTATATTAAATAATTTTATATATATATTTATATATATATAAGTATTATTTTCCCTCATGTCTTCAGTGTAATTTGAAAAATCACCCATATTATAGCTCACTTTCAGTTTATATATATATTAATACTTTTGATATTCCAGAAGAATAATTTTCCCCTCATGTTTTTGGTATAACTTCAAAAATCACCTGCATTATATCTCACTTTTTAAAATATATATATATATATTTGGTATTTTTGTTATTCTACAAGTATTTTTTTCCCTCATGATTAAGTGTAACTGGAAAAAATTACTTTTATTTTATATATACAATCATTATACTTTTATTATTCCAGAAGTATAATTTTCTCTCATGACACAGAAATTGTAGAAATAATTGCCCAAGTTAATTAAGTGTAACTATACATATATACACACATTTATATATATTTATAAAAACATATAAATTATTATTTAATTGGTATTGGTTTATTTAATGCAACATTTGCTTTTTGCCATGGCAAATGTCACATAATTCTGGATAAAATATTCTGTATAAATTATTTTCCACCCCTGAGTTTTATTTCCTGTAAATTACCCCAAGTCTCTAAAAGAACCACAAGGTTTATTCTGTTTGCACTCATGAGGCCTCTCTGCAATTTTCCAAAACAAAAAAAAGTATTTTTTTAATGGAAATTAACAGAATACCAGGAAGCCAATCCACAAAACAATTTCATAATTTATGGGATTTTTAAAATTTCTTAACTGTGTATTTTCAATCACAGCCATTACACAATTAAATGACAGAACCAACACACAATACATTTTAAAATCAGTTTTTATTTAAGGAAAGATACACAAAGTGGGCTTTGTATTTTGGATGCAGATTATATGAATATATTTCCTGCATCTAAATAGATATTAATATATTTTAAAAATTACTGAGGGATTCATTAAATTCCTGTAGTAGAAAACAGCAGTTTTATCTCCTCTAATTTGATAATGTCAGGTTATATTAATTCAAATAATCACTTCTATATTTGTACATATTTTTCTTTCTGTTTCACTCCCATTTTACCAATTTTTATCCTGCTGTATTTAAAAAAGATATTTTACAAGATAATTACAAGGTATTATAGTTTTATGTTACTACAAAGTGTGAGGTGTATTTATAAAAAATACACTTTTTTCTTGAAAAGTGAAAGATTCCTCATTTCATTTTGGGCACCCAGGGTAAAATTCAAAAATTTCAGGACATCTAATAAATTTTTTGGCCACTTAGTTAAAACTGAACCAGAACTCACCTTATATCTACAATCTTCCCCTGCAGAAAGAATCAGATCATTCACTGAATTCCAGTCAGTTTTTAGAATCAGGCCATCGTGGGCTTTCCACTGAAATGGGAAAAAAAACATCAACAGATGTAACAACTCTGACAACTTCTATTTTTAATATTTATCACTTGTCAGAGGATTTTTCCAACATTAATGATTCTATGATTTAGCAGAAAAAGAAATTAAATAAAGCCTGAACAAGGCAAAATCAAAGCACTGCATTAAAATCAAAGAAATCTGCATTAAAATCCTGTTTTCAACTACTGTTTTTTGACAAGAGAAAAGGGAAAGACCTCTGTATTTTTATTTATGTAACTAAATGTTATTAATTAATCAGATTATTAATGGTACCTGCAAAACTTTAGCATTTGGCTGGAGGGGTTTAATGATCAACTGCTTCCCTGAGGTGTAGAGAACTTTGTCAGAGTCAGGTGCCCAGGATACTGAGTACACTGGTGTTCCTGTGGGCATGGAAAACAGGAAAAAAAACGTGGAAAAAAGCATGGAAAATATTCCTGGGGTTTGCCTGAAGAAATCCTGCAGGAATTCCTACAGCAAGGCAGGTCACCACCTGTCCTTTTAATACTGTAATACTATTATTATTATTATTATTATTATTATTATTACCATTGTTGTTATTAATAATAACAATAACAACAATAATAACAATAAGAATAAGAAATAGTGCATAATATAGAAAAATATAATTGTATATAATTATATATAATTATATATTTATATTAATATATAGAAATATATATAATATGTAAGTACACAAAATACAATACATAATTACTGCATTAAATATATTAGATTTATATTACATAATTATCTATGTAGATAATACTGTATTATATAAACATACATTACACCTTTCTCAAGCCTCCTTATCTATTGCCATTTACCACATTATCAATTTCTAAAACTTTTACAAGTGAACAGTTTTAAGCCCAGAAAAGTCCAGAAAACCAACAGGAAATAGCTGCATTTTGTATTTATATTCAGATTTTATCCACTGGTATAATTTTAGTCCCAAATGTCACTCCAGACATACAGAAAATCTAAATAATAACTCACCAGAAGACATCAGAAAATAAATCTTTTCACCCCAAATTATGAGGCTGAACACAAATGTGGGTGGAAAAAGTTTTGTGTTGCACCTAAATTATTCTATTTTAGATTTTTAGGCTCTATAATTAATCCAGATTTTTATTTTGCTGCACAAACATCCCATTCACAAATAACTTCCAAAATAAATGACAATAAATAAAACTGGCCCACAGACTTGACAGATTTTTCCCAATGAACTGAAACTTTCTTAGACTGAAACCCCCAGAATTTTGTAGCTGGAAAAAAGCTGACTGTTCCATTTTAAAATCATGTTCCAGTTTTCAAATTAGATTTTTTTGAAAACAGAATAAAGCAAAAATGACATGGAAAAACATCCACGGAAAAGAAGAATTTTAAAAAGTCAGGCTTGCCAACTACGCAAATATTTTCCATATTTGACAGGATTTGTCTCCTCTGAAGAAAAATCAAAGGATTTTGCTACTTGATTCCTTGAAATAAAACTGAGAAAGTTAAGTAAAAACCATCTCCAAGTATTAAACTGAGCAACTGAATTAAAACTGTTCAAATAAAACAATTTTTAATGTAACTTTATGGTAATAAAAAACCCCAAAAGGCTTAAAAATGATCTTAAAGGGTAAAATACTCAGTGACAATTTTGGCAGATTAAATTCTCTTCCCAAAAATGACTCAGGAATATTTTTGTATGGGAATATTTTGATGAGATTTAGATAATTCAGTGATTGAACTGCTACAGCTGCCCTAAAATCATCCAGTATCTCCCCACTTTTCCTCAGTGCAAAAAGCTGATTTTATTATGGTTAAACTCGATTTGAGCTCCCAAATATTCACCCTCTAAATTGAGACCTGGTGTCGTTGCTCCTGAGGATTTCTGTGTTTCACAGATTTTCTTTTAGGGAATTTTATTACTTAAAAATACAGAATTATAGCAGATTTTTTTAACTTGTCAACCATCAGAGCAGACAAGTCCCAGAAACACAACATATATTAAATAAATGTGGCTCTGGCTGTTTTCCTCCTGGCAATTCCTGGTGAAAACGCCATAAATTCTGTCACCAGCTGGAGCAGAAATTCTAAATAAACTCCTTTTTTTTTATTTTTTTTTATTTTTTTGGTCCTGTCCTAATGCTGATCTAACAATCAGAAGAGTTTTCTATTTAAACCAAATGTTTCCCTTTTTTATGATGGCTGAGGACTTAACCACAATTTCCAGGGCTTAACAGCAGGAGCTGAGTTAACTCATTTCCTTCTGCACTTAACAAGGGCTGGGTTGGGAAAACGCTGCCAACACCCTGGAAAACCCAGAGGAACGGCCACACTGCAGGAATAAACAGGAATATTCTGGGAGAAAAGGATATAAAAAGGCAGAAAATTGGGATTTGAGGAAGGAAGACCTGGCTTATCCCACAGCAGACTCGGTAATTCCAAGAGCTTGTGTGGGGTTTGGGGTTGTCACAGGAGGAGAAACATTAATTTAAAGAATTTTCGATCTTGTGAGGGTGTCTCCAGAAGAATATAGATATCAGGGATAAATTCCTCCTTGGGAAGGTGGGGAGGAGCTGGGCTGGAATTCCCAGAGATGCCCCTGGATTCCTGGAAATGTCCAAGAGCAGGTTTGGGATAGTGGGAAGTGTCCCTGCCATGGAGGGGATGAGCTTTAAGCTCCTTCCAACCCAAACCATTCCAGGACTCCATGATAATCCTGTGGGTTCCCAACACATTATCTATGAAATCCATGGAAAAAAAATTTCCTCATCAAAATGGATCAAATACAACATTTCAGTGTGAGGAGAAGGAGGAACAAAAGGAAGAATTTTAAGGGAATCTAAGGAAGGATAAAGGCAAAAGACAGAACAGGCACGTGGATCATCATCCCAAAATATGAGCCTGAAAATTTATTACTAACACAAAGAGTGGAATGAGGCAAAAGAATGTTGGCAAAGGGAATTTTTTCAGTTCTTATTGTAATAAAGGAAGGGAAAAATTGGTTGAACATGATGCACCTCCCTGAGAGATTAGCATTCCTGCAGAATTCTGCAGGAGTTCCTGTTCCCCTTACAACGGGGACTGGGGGATTCTGCTTCTGAATTTCAAGGATTTCAGGGCCTCACAAGATTGAAAGCTGAAAACTCAAATACAAGGTGACAGTTACTCCTTGGGGACTCAGCTTTGCTTTTGTACTGCACCAGAAACTTGCAGAAACCAATGAAAATTCTTATTTCAAAGTACAGCATAGAATTTACCTTATATGCTTTTTCAAACCTCAAATGAGCAAAATAATGCATAAAAAATCTGACAACATCAACTGAGAAATGCTCAAGAAAATGGGCTTCAATTTGAATTTTTTTTTTTTTAAATTCTAGTTCAGTTGGTTTATCTTTTAACCTGACAAACATTGCATGAGCATGTGAACTTCCTTAAAAGAACTGAAATGCATTTTACATTCACTACTGTGGTTAAAATGCCTTCCCTGGGTTGAAAGAATTCAGATCATTTGTTTCAGACAGAGATAAAGGCCTGACATTTAACCCAAGCCCAGGTGCATGTGGTTTCTTCAAAAATGTCAGAAGGTCACATGGGCTCCATCTATGAAGTCTGAAAAACAAAATTTAGCTGAGGATCTTCACTGAAATGGCACCAAATACTTAGGGTGGGACTGAGACTGCTGCCTAAAAATATTGCAACACTTTTAATTTGAAAAATGAATTATTGTTTTAAATCTTTTTAAAATGCAACTCTGATTTACATTTAATTAAGTCCTTAACACCCTTGAACAAACCATCCCTGCCATATTTAGGATCTAAATATATTTCAGAATAACCCAAATGAACAAATTCTGATGGAGCTTTGAGCAAAGGAACTCACCTTGCTGAGCCAAAGTGGATCTCAGCATTCCACTTTTAGACCAGATTTTCACTTGCCCATCTTCCCCAACTGCAAATGAGCACAGAAATCAGCAAATACCATGCAATAATCAGTCTAACAAATGAATTTGTATTTACTCAGGAAACACCGAATTAAAATAAATTCAGGTTTTTGTTCTGAGGCAAATTCCTTTTGTTTATTCTTCCAAGCATGCAATAGGAACTCTATGAAGGGAAAATACTTAAGATGGTTCTTTTGTTATGTTGAACAAGTTTTAACTTTCCTGAAAATCCCTGAATTCTTTTTTGAAGCTGGTCCTAGGAAGGGAAAGTCCATCATTACTCAAGTATCCCAGATTCTGTATTTTTGATTCCTTCAACGGCCCAGAAGCTGCTTGAAGGAGTCTGAGGAGCCCCAGGGGAGCAGGAGCAGATTTGATGGATTAAACTGGAGATTTCACAGCTGATAAATGGTGGAAGTGAAGATAACTCTGTTTGGATGGTTTCAATTTTCTACCATAACTGTGTGTTACCAAATAACTCAGTTTATTTATGGAAGAATTAATTGCTAAACACTACACAGCACAGTTAGGGCTGTTTTGACACAGAAATCCTGGTGTGGTGTCATTTTTAAAATGCTCTGGTCCTTCAATTTAGGCCTCCCAGAGCCAACTCATGAGGAAAAAGATGCACAATGAAATGAATGGATTCTTCCATTCAAATGTAATTTATTTACCACATTTCAGGATTTTACATCGGGCCAATGTTGTTTTAAATGTTTTAAAAAATGTTCAAAAAAACCCCTGAAAATAAAAAATCTTATTTGTGCACATTTGATGCTGTTGAAATATAACCATAAAAATATTTTAAGTGGAGCAGTAGCAATGATTTATTCACTCTTCCTCCAAGTACAGCTGTGGTATAAGAGGAGTTGATCTCCTCAGAATAAACTGGAAGTGGTGATGAATTCCCACACTCCCAAAAAAGTGTCAGTGTCATGCAGCCTCATTAAAAAAAAAAAAAAAAAAGGGGGGGGATTCAAAAGACAATTTTGACTTTGTCTTTGGAGAAGTTCCTGAGGCAAAGCTGTCTTGAAAAAGAACAATATTTCCATCCCTCTGGGATTTCAGAAGAACAGGCCAGACAGAGTTCCTTGAAGCAGCATTTCAGAGTCTGGAAATGAGCAGATCCAAAATTATCTTCAGTTCTTGTGGCCTGAGCTGGAATTTGTCCAGAGGAATCAGCTGTGCTCCATCAGCAGGAGGCTGACACCACCAGAAACCCCAGCAAGGAGCTCAGCACAGAGAATTTCAGCAGCTCCCCTTAACACCGAGATGGAATTTGGGACAAAAAATGCCAAAAGCAATGAATTAACAGAAGATTTAGGACAAAAAGTGGTGTAAGAATGAAAAAATTGTGGGCTCGCTCTCCTTGCATTAATATAAACAAGCTGTAGGTGATAATTACTGATAATTAAGCAATAAAGCACAGGAATATTCAAGATCAATGAGCCTTTTTGGCTAAAAAAAACCCAGATGTGCAGGGATATAAATGTACAAACTTAGCAACTTTCTCTTGTAACAGATAGAAAAAAAAGAAATCAAATATTCTCCTTTCTGAAGTTCAGAACAGCCTCAAAACCATCTAAGCACTCTGATATTAAAACATTTACTTTCAAGTGGATTGGATGACTTAAATGAAAAAATAGAAATATTTTTACTAGAAAATAATTACACATTGCAAAATGAACTCCTAGTAAACAAGGTGATAACAACCTCTGTGATAATTAAGACCAAAAAAAAAGCAGATTATTATTTTAGTTTTTAAAGCACTTTATTAATATAGGAATGCTCACCTGTAACCAGGGCTGTTCCCTCATAATTCCACCTTCCTGCAAGGACAGCTCCACAATGTGCTTCTACACTTTTCTCCACTCTTCCTAACTTGGAAATCAAGTGGAATTTCCCTAAAAAAAAAAAAAAAAAAAAGATACAGTATATGTAATTTACATAATTATAGATAATTAATCATATAGTAAATTATTAATTATATTACACTATTAATTATATTATATATTATTATGGCAGTGCTGGTACCTTCTGTGGAAAACACACAGAGAAAATAAAGCAAGAAACCAGCAATATAAAGAAAACATCCAATTGTTTTTCACTGTTCAAATCAGAATTATTCCTGCTTCCATGCTGGAGCTGGGATGGAATTCCACAGGAGCCAACCCCAAAGTTTGAATGATTTCAACAGAAGGATCAGAAGTTTTTCTTCCCAAATAAGGGATGCTGCTTAAATCCAGGAAGATCAAATTTAAACTGGAGCAAAGAGCAGACAATGCAGAGCCTGGAAAAATGAGCAGTCCAGCAATTAAAATTAACTACTTTAAAATCAAATTATTTTTATTATTATTTGATTTAAACTGCCAGACTAACCCACTGCAAGGAAGTTCTTGAGTGACCAGAACTCTTGGCATAATCATCTAGCCAAATCTCCGCAAGGTTTCCAAGGAAAAGACTTTCAACACTGATAAAAAACTACGGTTTGGATAAATCCATTTATTTGAACAGATCATTTAAAATATCATGGAATTCCAGACTGGTTTGGGTTGGGAGGGATCTTAAATCCAAATGGTCAGGGTCACCTTTCACACACCTGGTTGCTCCAAGCCCCCTCCAACACTTCCAAGGTGTTCATTTAATGAATTCCATTATTTTATAACTATAAAATAGAATTTCTCTCATTAATCTATCACTTATTGGATAGAACATCTCTCAGGTTTGAGATTTCCATGTTTCATGTGTAAGCAATAACTGGATTTAGAGGAATTTAATGTTATTTTCTCCAATTCAATTGGCCAAATGGCTTTTTCTGCTTTTACATTAAAAATAAATTTTATTTTCTGATAAGTAAATCTTTTATTTTTTGAACTTTTTTCCATGTAGTGTCTCTGTTCCATCTGTAACCAAGATCTTTTTCATTGGAAAATCCTTAAACCCAGTCTCCCAGGACCAGGAATATTCCCATGCCATCACCCACAGACTCAGCATGAAGTGGCTGAGCTCTCCAGAGCCATCAGTTTTTTCAGGATATAAAGAATTCCATGAGATTTTATATATTGAAACAGCTTCCACTGATCAAAGCAGAATCCCTGAATATTTCTGTAAGCAATTCCCCAACTCATAAAAGACAAAATTCCAGTGGAAGCACAAGCAGCTGGGAAGGAACTGAAGGCTTTGGTGAAGTCAAAATATCAGGAAAATGGGAAATATCAAAGTATCAGGTAAAATCCTCTTATCCAGGGAAAACTCTACTATTTTCCCAATCTTTTGCACCCTCTCCCACTCCACAAGCTCCTACTTCTCTCACAAGGCCCCTTCCAAAGAAGGAACCAGAGGAAATTGTAGCTGAGCAGGGAAGAACATGGTTACATGTAAAAGCAGGATCAACTTTCCAGAATTCCTCTGGAAAAAATGTGATCATCACTTAAAACTGTATCATAATCACAGGGGAGATCAAGTTTTCATGGGTATCACTTTCACTTCTGCAACTTCTTTGCTTTTCCAACAGGGGAATTTACAACTGCTGACAGTCAAATACTTTCTCCATGGAATTCCCACAGGGAGGTTTCTCCATTTTCATGGATTTCTGTTCTTCAGCTGGGGGAACTGAGACTTTCAAATTACAACTTACTACACAAAAAAAATGGAGAAATTTTAGCCAAATGCCTGGAGTAGGCAGAAGTGATTCAGCTTAATCTCTGGTCCTTTATTTTTACTAAGTACTGAAGTCAGAACTGTCCTCAACCTGAAAATGACTCCCTAGTTTTGAAGGAATTTCCAGTGGGAGAATCCCTGCCTATCTAAAAACAGATTATAAAATATGTAGGTTTTGTTCATTAACTTCCATGGACTCCTAAATATATTTTATATTATATTCCTAATATAAAATTATCAATAAAAATTTTTAAAAAATGTTTGAATCATTTATGATTTGTGCTTAATTTGAAGGTTAAAGCCAAACAAATTCTTTATTTTTGTTGAAAAATAGCAACAAGACCAATGTCAGTAGGAAATAAAAGAACAATATCCCCCAGGAGAAGCATTTCAGAAGAAAACCCAAGGGGATAAATTTACATTTGCTCTGATTTCAAACATCCACAGTTCAACTAGGAATTAATGCAACCCTGTAAAGACATTATCCTCCTTTTCCATTGGATTCAGCAAGTTTCCAGGAATCCTTATCACAGAGGGGAGTTTGCTGCTGCAGGAAAAGTTCAGGAATAAGCTGGTACAGGAAAATTCATGCAGGAAGAAAAATCTGGCTGGGTGCAAAATCTTTTTGGGGAGAAGGGAAAAAAAAAACCCCATCCCAAGCAATTCTCAAAGCCTCTTACTTCCCAAATAATGCCTTGTACTTGAGTGACAGGAGCACAATAAATACTTTAAATTTACCTAAATATTTCCAATTGCCTTACCATCAGAACTGGTCAGAACAAAGCTCTCAGGCTGGGATTGCTTCTTCCCACCAATCCCTCTGGGAAACCAGTGCAGATCTATGGGATAAACATCATCTGGAAGCTTCACCACTCGAGTGGTCTCGCTGGTCACGGGGTTCCACTTCATGATCTGGTGGTCATCGCTGCAGGAGTAGAGCTCATCAGCTGTTGTCCATCCCACACAGCTCACCAAGTCCTTATGTTTCATTCAGTTAAAGAATCTGAAAAGTTTAACTCCTAAGAATCATCAGATACCCCATATTGGATATTAAGAACTGAAGGGACAACATTATTTTGGTAAGATTGCTTGGAATGTTTTATCTTAAAAAAAATAAAACAAACCTTGATATTTTGCTCTTATGTGTCAAAAAGAGCTGGTAAAAATCCAGCCAAAAATAAAGCAAGTTTTCAAGTAAAAGTGGAACTGCTATAATGATGTAAAGTTATCAAAACATGGCTAAGATGCTGGGTTAATGAAGGGCCTTAGTGCAAAATACAAGTGCAAACCATCCAAGTATCATTCAAAAGCGTTGGTTTATTAACACCACATCTTATGTAAGTGTTCAACATCTCTTAAAACATTGTCCTTAAAGGCTGCACTCAATGACAAGGGGAACAAAAGAAAAACAGGGGGGAAAGCCATCTGCAATTTACTAATATTTTACTGTAACTTCAACAATAAAAAAATATTTTCTGGAAGAGCCTATTCAGAATGAACATGATGTTCCATGTTTTTGTCTGTGACAAAGGATATGTTTTGGCTCCTTTAAAAGGGAAGTCTTCAGTCTCATCTCAGTTGTTCAGAGCATTAAAACCATGTGTTACAACTGTAATAAAAGAAAACAAATATATATGTAAGTATGTATAATTTGCATAATATATGTGCATAGACAAGCAGATAAAAAGGAAGACATTAACACTAAAATTGAAAGTTCTGAAGTAATATTGTATCACTGCTAGGGAAAAGTAAGCACCAAGAAACACCTGAGTTTAAAGAGAATTCTGTTTTCACATTATCCAACTGGATATAGACAACTTGAAGAAAAAATGATGCTGTGAACAGTGAATTCCTGAATAATTAATGTTGGGAAAGACCTTTAAGATCAAGCCTGAAACATCAGAGGTTGGAGCACTGGAGGTGCCTTGTACTGACACACAGCCAGGAAGGGAAAACCTGATATTTTCCTTTCAAAGCTCAGAACTTTATTAGAATTTTTAATGCATTTCAATCGCTCTGTATGCGCTGCTAAAAGGCTGAACGCCCAGTCCCGGCCATCCACAGGTACATCCATCACTATCAGTCCACGTATTCCCTACATCCCAAGGAATCCAGCAGCGGCTCCGCTGGAAACCAGGAATTAAAACCAGGAATTAAAACCAGGAATTAAAACCAGGGATTGTCCCGACTCGGAGAAGCCAAAGTGCCTCACGCCTCCTCCCTTTCCCATCCGGAGCTGCTGGCCAGGAGACGAGGATCAGGGACGGCGTTGGAGATGGAGCAGGACGGGACGGGGGGAGCAGGGAATGCCAAAGGCGGGATGAGGGCAGCGCAGGGAAGCAATGCCAGAGGGAAGGATGGAGAAACACCGGGAAGGAAAACTAGCGGGCGGGACAGGGAAGGCAACGGGAAGGGATAGGAGCAGAGCAGGAAACTGAAAAGAGCGGCAGGATGGGGGCACCGGGAAGGAACGCCACAGCAGGATGGGGGGAATGCTGAAAAGGAAGAGCAGCCGGCGGAATGGGGAGCACGAAGGAGACACCAAATCCTCGGGGCAGCCTCGGCCACCACTGCTGTTTCCAGCATTCCAAGGAGCAGATTACCCAACCCCTCCTGAGGGCCGCCAGCAACCGGGGGTCCCCCGCCCTGCCCTCAGCTCCCCCGGAGCTCTCCCTCCCCTCCATCCGTCCGTCCCACGCCCGGCCGGGGGTCACAGCTCCCGACCCTCTCGCCCACCGCGGCGGTGACTCAGCCGAGGGGAGGGGGACGGCGGCCGCCGCCTCCTCAGCGCGCCTTTACCTGCGCGAGCAGCGGGAGGCAGCGCGCAGAGCGGCGG